CAACGTAATCACAAATCAATGTCTTCCCTTTTCCTCTCAAACCCTCGTCCTTTTCGCCCTCCTCTAAACCCTAAATCCAATCCCCATGTCGTTTTCCCACTTCGTACCCTCAATTTCTCCGCCAATTCTACCCCACCCCCTCCTCCTCCTCCGAACCCCAATACAAAACCACCCACCATCAAAGAACCTCCCTTTCCCCCTCCTCCGCTGGAGGCGGCATCGGAGGAGAAGAAGTCATTCGCGGTGGCGACCGGCGAGCTTTTCCTTGGCATTGCATCACGAGTTTTGAGGCGTGGGAATAGTATAGTTAATGGTGCAGAAGAGAGTGAATCGTACTTTTGGGAACGGAGAAAGGAAGGGATAGCGACGGTGGTTGAGGACCCGGTTCAGCCGGAGGTTGTGTGGGAGCAGAGGGAAAAAGATGTGGAAGCTGAGAAGAGCATGAAAACGGTGACTAGCCCTGGGTTTAGCTTCTCTGCTGCTGGGCTTTTGTTTCCTTATCATCTTGGGGTTGCTAAGCTTCTCATTGAGAAGGGCTATATCAAGGTTTGGTATATTCTACTTTATTTAGTATTTGGTTGTTGAATANCGAATAATACTGCTTGTTGTTCTCTTGATTCTGTAGTTGATCAAGTAAGATAATATCAAAATAAAATCTTTTTGCTAATCCATAACAAGTTTTATTTTACTTTGGAGAAGGGGAGTGGAGGAAATGGGAATCTAGATGGATGAACCGCGATGAGCATAGTAATAGGCTATTGAGCTCGTTTGGATATAAGAGAATGTTGCTTCAGCTCCTTACCAGTTAATATTTTATTGATGTATGCCAGCAAAATGCAGCTTGGGGTTAAGTCATAATTGTTTTTAAAAAGGGCACCCTGGTGCATGAAGCATCCCACCTTCACACAGGGTTCGGAGAAGTGCCGCACTCCAAGGGTATTGATGTAAACAGGCTACCATAATGCAAGCATTAGTGGCTGCTTCCACGGCTCGAACCCGTGGCCTATACGGAGATAACCTTACCGTTGCTCCAAAACTCCCCTTCATTGAGGTATAATTGTTTTATACCAGCAAAATGCTGGTAAATACATTCAAAAGGGAGAACTTTATGGAGAATGTAAAGAACTTAGAATATCTTTACCCATTATATCTTTCAGTTAGTGAATTGATAGTTTGAATATAACAAAACGCATGAAGAGGATTCTTATAGGGGACACCAACTAATTGGGATTAAGATGTAGTTGAAAGATCTTATATAGACTTCTATAAGAACTTAGCAGTAGTATATTGATACATATTTATTGGATTTAACTATTGATGGGTGAGTGACGTTAATCGAGTGCCAGATGTCCGAGCCAAATTGAGTGTGTATAGCTCACTTCATAGTGCATTGCTCTTTGGAGGAACTTGAGGATTCGGGGACATGTATGTTAACCCCGCACATCACATAGGAATTAGGATAGATGAAGAAATTGGACAAGTACTTGCTACATCTGTTGTTGGATATTGTTGTTGACCATATGACCCTTGAGATCTGGAGTTTGGGCCTAATGTTTGTTGCTATGATGGTACTTCATGATGTGTAAGAAAGGGAATTTTACGGAAAGAAGAGAATTTACTATTAATGGGGATAATACTTTGAGAATTTAAGTTGCTACGGACCTTTTTGTTTGCCTTTCTTTATAAGTATTTTATTGAGCTTTTGCCTTGAATACTCAAGCAGCTTGATTTGCTAATAAGCTTATTGAGAGATAGAGGATTAAGGTCAAGAGGTTAAGAAAGCGTTATACCGGACTCTAAACACTGGTGGAGGGTCTTGTTGGATGTTCATTTTGGTTACAAATTAGAACTACAAAGATGACTTTTCTCAGTCCGACATATTTCTTCTTTCCCAGGAGACAACACCACTGGCTGGTTCTTCTGCTGGTGCAATTGTATGTGCAGTGGTCGCTTCTGGTGCGAGTATGCAAGAGGCTCTAGATGCTACCAAAATATTAGCTCAAGATTGTCGGCTCAGCGGGACAGCATTTCGCCTTGGTGTAAGTGTCATGACATAATTTCTTAATTGTGCAGGCTATAAAAATCATATACGTTCATAATTGTAATCTTTTAAGATAATTGATAGGTTTGATCTCAGTCAAAGTCTATGAAACAGATTTGATCTATAAAAAGTAGTCATTCGTGAAAATGAAATAGATTAATTGATAATTTTAATGTGTTTGCCTCAGTCAAAGTGTATGAATTGGGCATCTAAGAGTAAAAGATTTAAGTGACAGTCGTATAGAAATTTTAATCATGACTTGATTTGTCCACATAAAATTGTAATCTCTTATTTGGTGACAGAATGCAAATGTTTCTATGTCACTGGAAAATAACTTGACATGTTTAAAATTGGCTTATCTCGTGTCATCGAGATCTAGAGTACTCTTCTTGATGACAAGTATTTAGCTTTTTGGTATTTAAATGTTAAAGCATCTAAAAAATGTCATTCCGTATCAGGCTGTTCTTAGAGAAATTCTTGAGAAATTTCTTCCAGTTGATGCTCATATTAGGTGCAACGGAAGAGTTCGTGGTAAGTGTAGACTAACCTTTGTTCGTGCAAGCTGATATTTTGAAGCTCTTATGCAATACAATATGGTTTATCTGGGTTGAGAATGATGTAGTCATTTCATCCCAGTTGCTGTAACACAGATACTTTGGAGGCCCAGAGGCTTATTGGTTGATCAGTTTGATTCTAAGGAGGATCTTATCAATGCTGTCTTTACTTCTTCTTTTATCCCAGGGTACACATTCTTTCTGGCTTTATTAGCTTCTCTTTTAGCTCACACTCCAATCTAAACCTTTAATCTAAACCTTCAAAGTATCGTGAATCACAGATATCTTGCTCCAAGGCCAGCCACACTTTTCAGGAATAAACTTTGTATTGATGGGGGACTAACACTGTTTATGCCACCTACATCTGCTGCCCAGACGGTAACTTCTGAAGAAATTAATTAAGTAGTCCGCTATACTGCACATGTCCAGTCATGACTACCTTGCTTTGTCATTCATGTACGCCAGTTGCGGATTGATTTTGCCATTGTATGTCCCGTGCATTGAAATAATCTTTGGAGAGGAAGCTAGTTTCAAATAACCAACTTGCAGTTCTAAGAAAAATGCTGTGACTTTGATGAAGTTCATAAAAAAAGGCTAAAGGCCTGGTCTATTCACCCGACTTCACTTCACTTTATATTGTAGAGGGTGACGGTAAATCAATCCAACCCATTAAGAGATATTTCTGTTACCTTCTGGACATTTACTTAATTGACTTCGGACATCTGTAGACAAATATTTAAATCAAGTCATCTGATAACTAGTTGTCAACTGAAGCCCTGTCTGTTGTGGCTCTAGAATTAGTTCGGAGTTGCTAATATACACATTATTCTCAACTGTAAATTAGTAGTCTCTCCTGTTTAATAAGTTATCTGAAATCAGAATGCATTTTCCCTGTCCTTATGTTCTCTTATATAGCCTAAAACTAATAGCTATAAATTCAGAAAATCTCCCTGGGTTGTTGATTACCTATAATTCTTAAGATTTTATCTGTATGTTTGATTAGTAATCTACTTGTCTTTTCCTCTCATGTTACATCTTCCAGCATTTATTAGCAACATTTTTTTATAATGGTGGTGTTCGGGCTAGCTTACACGCACCTCGATTGTTACCTGCTACCTCCCACCACAGAGAGGTTTAGCTAGATGGAAAGTGATCACCTAATTTCTTTTTGTCTCTGTTAGGATTTGAACCCTGGTCTCCAAGGTTTGCCCCCATTGACCACTAGACCACACCCGTTAGTGCTAACAGTTTATGCTTTTTACCTGTCAGTTCCACAATAGAAACAGCGGTGACTTATCAGGATATTGATTTCTTTTCATCTGATTGCTGGAGGCAGTTAACAACTGATAGGTTGTATCCAGGTGCGCGTTTGTGCTTTTCCAGCCAGTCGGTTGGGATTGCAAGGAATTGGGATAAGTCCTGACTGCAACCCTGAAAATAGGGCGACTCCCCGCCAGGTACTTGAACATCTTACGGTCAATCGCCTGGTTCTTCTAGTGATAGACCAATAACAAGTTTTCTCTCATCTAATTTTTTGGCCACATTTGCAGCTTTTCAGTTGGGCGCTTGAGCCAGCAGAAGATGATATTCTTGATAAGCTATTTGAACAAGGTTACACGGATGCAGCTATGTGGGCTCAGGAGAACCCGGTCGGGGAGTTAGTTCGAGATGATAGTTCTTCAATAGGCAGCAGTCTAACACAATAGCTTTATACAGATTGATTTTGTTCAAGAGTGTACGAGATGATACAATGGCGTTGCAAGAATCAACTCATTTAACCTGCAAATAAGAGTAGTCTCTATGATACACAGTACACTTCAACAATGATGGAGCGCTCCTTGCCTTAACAAGGAGCTGATACTGAGGAAGATCGAAGAGGGTCGGAAACTGGTGGTTGGTTAGTAGCAACGTTATGTTTTGTATATACAGCATTGCTAAGATGTAAATTTTAAAGCAGGGAAGAAAGAAATGAACAGAAAAGCAAAAGAGGATAGGATTTAGGATATATGAGTACAACTAGGGCTCGATATTCCTGTAACATATACTGATGAAAAATGAATAGCAGCTTGGTATTAAGCATTATTTTCTCTTCTTGTATAACTCTAGTCACAGTTGACATTTTCCATTGCAAATTGCTATAGGGAGAAAAAGTTGGTGCCCTGAAGCTCCCATTTTGAAGTGGATATTGTTGTTAAATACATATTTGTAATATCCTTTTTCATACCAGTAAGATTTAAATCTTAGTGTTCGGTTCCTAACGTAGCTACTAGTTTAAGTAAAATTCTTTAGTTACTACTAATACGTGATGTCGAAAATATCCTTGTTATTACTGCATGAATAGCTGGTCAAATTTACTATTTATTTTTTCTAACCGGTATACATAGATTATATACAGTTATAAACATATTACATATGGGTTATACATATATTATACATCAACTGGCTATTTTTAGTTTAAACGGTCGGGTTTACGGCTATCTAGGTTAGTTCTTTGAAAAACCCGTGATCAGTTCGTATTGTAATACTCTATAAAAATGAATCAAAATGCTTTGCTTCACTAATTCTACCAAAAGTGATACAATTGTAAGTACAATGATGAGTGCTATGACCGACTCAAGTGCCCTTGATAATAACACATACCAGAGATTTAGCAACGTGGAAAATGAGCACACCAAGGGAGAAGAAGATAATTTGAGACAAAATAAACATGTGAGTCATCTGGAACCTGTATTTTCAAATTCAACCAGAAAAAATTTATTTACACTTAAAATAAGACCCCATGTGAATTAATATTAAAATCACGAGCTTGGCATCATTTTTAAATTTTCTGTCAAACCTTAAAAATAGCGCAATCTATCAAACTTTATTGCTCCATCAACGAAAGAGCAATAACATAATAATGAGAAATATCTCTGGCCCTAGATTGTTTATTTACTCCTTAAATTAATAATTTTTTAATTTAATACAAATAATATTAAATTCTCCGGTTCAAGTCATCTAAAAAAACCCAACTTCAATTTTCCAAAAAAATCTCAAATTACTTTCAGTGGATCGTTGTCCATTTAGGCAAGCTTAAAGATGAGTTCAATTTATGAAAAAAAGATACTCCATATTATTAGATTATAGCCAAGGTTGGAAATTAGGGACCAAATGTTAGTTTCCAGAACTCCAAGTCTTCAAAGAGGCCGTTCCCAAATATGAAAAGCGAACGAGCTTTGACCTGCCAACTACATCCATAAAGCAAGCAGACCGTACGATGCATTATTTTGATGTCAGATCCTAAAAACTAAAAAAAAAAAACCAAAAAAAGGAGGAAAAACAAAGAAAGATCACTGTCTTCAGTTCTCTACAAAACACTCCACAAATAATCTTTCATCTCAGAAAAAAGAGAAGTAAACTAAATGGTTTTTGAAAGTTCAGAGCCAAAAGGACAAAAAAGATGCACAGCAAATTACTTGCAGGAGTAGAACTAGTTAGCCCATCACCTGCTTTTTATGCTCTCCATTACCGTTCCCATCTTCCATTTTCGCCCAAGATTCTGTGCTGCACCAACAATTCTTCTTCTTCTTCTTCTTCTTCTTCGGACCATAAGTTCAAGTTCAATCTTGTGGGTGATAGGAAGTGGAAGTTCAATGATATTGATACCAGTGAGTGCACCAATTTCCTTTCCCCTACTTCAATTTATTTCTTCTTGGTCTTTTTTTATTTGTTTATAATTTCAAGATTCATTTAATTAGGTCCAGTGCTTTTTAGTTAGCTTATGTCAGTAAGTATAGTTGAACTGGCCTTGGGCCAAACTTCTCTCCTTGTTAATTGAAGCAGAAGTTTCCACTGGGACTGGTTTTCCACTGTAAATGACCTTGATGCACCCTCAGAAAAAGTGGAAATTGAATGAAGATTGAATCTTTTGAGGTTATTGACAATATGTTTTCACCAATATTGATTTTCCCCCTTCTATGGCTTGGGGGTGGTAGTGCTAGTGCTGTATTTATTTGTAAATTAAGCTTCACAGATGTAGTGAGCTACTTTAAGATGTCATGTTTTGTGCTCTATGTGATTATGCAGGAGAGTTGAAATAATATTCAAAGGTAACTTTTTCTTCTTCTTGACATTTTACATGCGAAACTATATTTCAAAAAGAAAAAAAAGGATGACGGTTTAGGTCCACCTTTCCTGTTAGGTTAGCAGCTAAACAATGATTAAATTGGTTATTCAGTTTTCCAACAAGTAGCACTCCGAGCTTACTCTTGCTCTGATACAGTCACTTCCTTTTACAGGTAGAGTGCAAGAATCAGTAAATCACTGGCTGTCAAAGACACAAAACTTTTTCAATGAAGTCACTTCACCGCTGGTAAAAACTGTAAATGACAAAAGAACCAGTGTGCATGCTGATACTCAAGATATGGAGGACACATTCATGGCTGAGCAGACTGTTGATAGCCAAACACTGAATGGTGATCTTTCTGTAGCTGCTATTCTTTCCATTGAGCAATTTAGCAGGTAAGATACATTTTTGTGGTCACATTGATTGGAACCACCTATTTCTGCATCAAGATGCTTGATTTTATGTGTCTATCTTGGAAGTGCCTGCTGTAAGTGTAATTCTTTTGGATTCTTATGTGTTGTGGTGAATATCCTGCGAAAAAGGCAGGGTGGCCGATAGATTTAAGGTAATTTGAGACATCTCCTCATGCCAAGGAGTCCCCCTCTTTATGTTTGTTGAGCATGTGCTAGAACCTTATTTGTACAAAAGAGAAATATTCTCTTAAAAGATATTCCACATAGTTATTTTGTCAATTTTTTTCCTGAGGGATTGGACCCTTAAAAGGTCATTTTAGGCATTTTATTAGACAAGTCAGTAACAGGAGTCATTCTCCTATAATAGTTCAGTGTGAAAAGTTGGTCTATGAACATGTTTTAAGACTAAATTGGTTTCTAGAGAAGTCTTCTTCTCTCTCTCTCTCTCTCTCTCTCTCTCTCTCTCTCTCTCTCTCCCCCCNCTCTTAAAAAGCTACTCAGATAATTTTCTCCGAGGTTTTCTTCAGGGGCATGGACTCTTCAGAATGTCCTCTCTGGACACTTTAATGGTCCTATCTATGTTGACAAAGAGTTCTTTTAGGAGACAATTCATTCAGATAAAGTCCTTCAAGTGTACTTGAGGTAATTAATGAAATGTTCTTAATGGGTGAATATAGAGAGAACTTTTGGTTGAGTGTTGAAACGCATAAAAATGAGAAAGAACAACTATGGCAAAAAACTCTGTTGGGCTGACATTGAGAGACAAAAGTTAGTGGAGCAAATGGGATTAGATACTCCAGTAGTCCTAACTGTAAATGATGGATAATAGGCGTTGTACGTATTGACCCGTGCAGTGTTCTAGCTAAACCGTTAGGTATTCCGGCTGGGGAGTATGTTCCTATATGTGACTGGATATTTGAGCAATCTGATTATATAGCTTATATAATGGGAACAATGTTAAAATGAATAAAATAATGGCCTCTTTTTTCGTATAGGAAGTGTGTTTCTTGATGTGAATAACGTGAAAGGATCAGTAAGTCTGTTGTAGACATGCTGGCATGGGCTGACATGAACTAGGCCTTGCCTTTTCTTTCTTTGGAAAAAAAAAACTTGTATTCCCTCCATCACACTTTCTATTTTGAGACATCTATAATGTTTGACACACTTGCATTATAATTTTTTTTTTTTGATAAGTCACTTTTTCTTTTTGAGAAGGAATTTTCTTCGATAAGTCACTTTCATGATAATTCTCCATCATATCAATTTTAGTGCCACCATTTGATTGGGCATGAAATTGAAGATGTTCATTTGACTTGTATATAATATAAGTGGCAGTTGCTATTAAGGCGATACATGCAATGTTTGTTTAACAGAGCAAACATCACATTAAAGTTTGATTAGTTAGTTAAATGTACTTAGTTTTTGAAATTTGTGAAAGTTTGTGTAATATGATATATTGATGGAACAACCAAAATAAGAAGACTCATATAAATTGAAATAGAAGTAGTATTTTATACAATTTCATATCTTTTAATGAGTTGAAATTCAATTAATAATCCAAGTTCTAACATGCATACATGATGTCATGTTTTAATTCGACGGAAGGGGTTAAAAAATTTGACCTCTCATCTTGTGGCACATTTAAGCACATCCAAATCTTGGGCGTCTTTGGGACATACTAGGTTAGGATTGCAAAACTTCTAGATGAGGAATTCTCGAAGTTTATTCTATATCACAATTTTTGGTTTGGTCATTATCCTACATAGACCTCCAAATACCCAATCTATATGTTCAAAACTATGATGATAGAATGTGTTATAAGGGAATAACGTATACTTAATCATGGAGGGTGGAGGGTGGTTGTCTTGAAAAAACTTGCTATCTCTTGAAATCCATGCAAAGTTAACTTAACAGAACACAATGGGAGCAGAGAATTCATATAGGCAATACGGACTGGTTGGGATAAAGATTTCGTCGGTATCGGACATTTATATCTGGTTTGGTGCTTGTCAGGAGTTTGTTTAGTTTGGTTAGATATTAATGTGTCAGTTTAGGGATAAGGGTGATGCTTAGAGAACCTTTAGTTTTGGAAAACCTTAATTTGTCTTAAAAGATAAGTTATTGGCATTAGAATGAATATGTCCAAAATGAAGCACAATGGATATAGAGGACTCATGTAGCAGACTAGCTAGATTGGGAAGTAGTTGTTATTGCTATTGTAGAGAGGGGGAGATGGAGTGGGGGGAGTTTAATTGGTTTAGGAAAAAATCCAAATAAAAATTATCATGATATGGTGAAATATATTTTTTAATCCTCTTGGAGTTAGGTGGTGCAAAAGTTTTTGACATTTTTGTATATGCTTGTCCTTGCAACCTTCGCTCGTTTTAGGAAGTCATTCTTGCGATTGAGTATTAAACTTGTGGAGTTGAGCTTACAGTTGTTGCTATCTGTGGTTAGCTTCAATACCCGACAAACCAATGATGAGTAATATATGTTTTTCTAAATTAAACTCTGGAGCTGTATATGACATATGATAGACATGCAGGATGAACGGATTGACTGGAAAGAAAATGCAGAAGATATTCAAAGCACTTGGTCCTGAATCTGTTCATAGTGATGCTCGCAGTTTGGTTGAATACTGCTGCTTTAGGTTTCTGTCGAAGGA